ATAAAACAATGACACATTCAATAATCATTCGTTGATAAGCAATAAAGAATTAAATTCAAAAATTATATTTGATAAAAAGTATTCAACTGTACTGGATATTTAAAATAGGAGGTTCGAAATGAATCCAACGCCTAATAAAATTAAAAGCAATCGTTTAGTGCGTGTAAACGGATCCGTCGGGTACCTTGGGAATTAAAATTGAATTAAACGGGATGAGATAAGTATACAAATTAAAGATAAAGACTATATGAGTCAGTTGACAGTCTCTTCGTAATAATACAAAGTTTTACAAAATAATGTCTTCATAAGATTAAAATTTAAATGTTGCCTAAGGAAAACAATTAATGTTATTGTGTAGTATCCACTAAAATAAGTAAACATATTTCACTTAATTAAAAAAAAAAAGTACTTACTTAACGAGTTATATAGCATCATTCATTTCAAAGGCCATGAAATAAAATTTTATGAAATCATTGATCATAAATAATAAATAATAAATAATAAATAATAATAATAGGCACTTTTGCCGGGAACGTTGTATGTTTTTCTCGTTGTATATACTATTATATTAAATTGTTTGACTCTCAACACAAGAACTCTAGTTATCTTTGTTTTCCGTAGAAGAGTTTTCGTTTAATATATTATATAACGAATTGTCCTTTACTTTTTATTTATTTTTTCCCCGTTTTTGTGCTGTTGCTTTACTGCATTTCCGTTTTAAATTTCATTGGAACTACTAAGATATAAGAATAGCAGTTATAGATTATATTAATGTCAATAGAAAAATTTGAACTCAATAGAAAAATGAAATGGCCCCATGAATCCAAAGCATTGGACGCAATCAAAGATAAATTCGTGATGGGATAATGCATTCTTGTAGAGGACCACAACAAAGGCGCACCGTCAGCATGACCGGTATCTAAAATGTAAACTATTTTTGCAGTTGTAAAGTTTAATAGCTGTAACCATGAATTAGTTTTAGACCGAAGCAACTTAATTTTATAACAATATTATTATAATCATAACGAAGCAGTATATGATATTAAATCGGTTGGGTTATTGTTTTTAGCAAAATGCCGTAACAACTTTACCGTGAAACAATAAACAATATAAATTCAACCATAGACTATTTTGAAAACTTTATCCCACTTGATGAAAATTATCATAATGTGTTTATCCAGCATAAGCTGTAAATAATTTTTAACTGATATTTTTTTATATAAGTGAGTCATTTATAATGGTGTTTACTGAGAAAATGCATGCGACGCAGTTTCGTAGTGGGTTGAAGTCGAATTACACTAAAAACATAATACAGTAATTGATTAAAAAAATACTGAACGGTACTATGTTTCTACAGAGTTATATTATAGTTTTATCTTATTTTTTTAAGTTTTCCATAATTTACAGGCTCTTTTTAGATTAGGTAAAAGCATTGAGCTACCACCGAATTGTTGTAAAACATCATGTACCGGTGACACTTAGTTGGTAATGTAATGGTTGTGCTGGTTAATTTAAAAACGTTATTAACATTCGCAAAAAAATATATTGTTCGTATATGCCAATGCGGTACAGGTTGTAGCCAGCTGTTATTTTACTCAATTTGATCACTTCTGAAAACTTAATAATTTGATATTATAATTCATGGAATAAAAATATTAATAGCGACTCGATAATGTCTAAAAGTGAGTTTATTGGTTCAGTTTAACAACGCAAACAAAATACTAAAAAAAATTCGAAATTTACGTTTTAATAAATTAAAACGGAAATTTCGAAATATAAAACAAATTATAAGGTGAAGAATTATCTATCGAAAAAATAAATAACCGTAAATTTATTTCAACTCTAAACACCATTAATATTATACTTTAAGCTTTATAGCTAAATGGGTCAATTGTATTTATAGAAAAGTTTTTAACGGAACGAATGAAAAAAAGAAAAATAGCATAATTTAAAAATCATTTACACTTGACATTCGCAAATATATTAAAAATTACCATAACAGTCGAAAGATAAACAAAACTAACCATACTTGTGCCAATACACAGAACTATCTTTAATCGTGACAGGTTCGCAGGTGCAATAACATTGCCAATTTATTCGACGATAAAGAAGTTGCGCTTTACTAGTATCTGTAAACGAATAAAAAATATAATTTTATTGTGATTTGAAAAATATTTCATTGACCATAATCGTCGTCGTCGTTTACCCGGCGTTGAATACATATCTGTACAGCTTGTCCTGGCGGTGGTTGTAAAAAAAAATAAAAAATACTGTGAGCGTGGGTTTTCTAAACGGTCACTCGTCACGTTTGATCCAAATCGTCGATAACCGTGGTTATTACCGGAGTTGTGTGTATGTATATGCACCAATATAGACCTTCGTGATGTTATTATATAGCGCTTAAGAAAAATCGTTGACGTTTGATACTGTCGCCGGATCGATTATTCCGTATGAAAACAAAACACATCAAAAGAACCGATATTTTGCCAATGAGCTAAAAAAAACACGCGTCCCGTTTTTATTAGCCATTTCGTGTTGTTGTTTCTTTTATATTTTCTTCTATCTTCGTCATGACGTATACTATATAACTCAAGTAAAGACAACTTTTTACCGATAAATATCCCATCAAATCTTCTAGTAAAAGACACGCTAAGTGTTTAAAATATATTTGGACAGTATTAAATTAGAATAAATGATGTTTTAATGTTATACGAATCAATTTTTTCCATCTCGCGAGTAGGTATTCAATAAATAGCCATTCAATAGACTGTTTGTGTGTGGACTGCTATTGGCTTCCGAATGAGAAATCTTGGAGCGTTAATTTTAACGATTTAAAAACCACTCTTAACGGAATATTTAATAAATATATTCAATTTTAGTAATATTCATCAGATTTTCGTATGGTGATGAGAAATCATAATTAAACGACAATCATGTTTCATCTAAAAAATAAAAGTAATAAAATGGCGTGTAATACTTGTACGAAAAGTACGTTTAGATTAATTTCAAAGATGAAAAAGTATCAATGGATTTAAGAACTACGTTATCATCAAGCACAGCACTAATTATAATAAACACTTAATTGTGTATGTAAACCAACACGTGTGTACGTTCATCTTAAGTAGTGTCATTTACCTGTTTAGAGTAAAAAGCATAGCTTAATCAGGTTTTGTTCTTATGAATAAAATATATAAATATCTCATAAACAGTTCCAACACTGTAATGGAAGCGGGTTTTTTCTAATTCCAGTTCAGCGTTTTGCCTTCGTGTGTAATATTAACATGCACTCGAATTTGTAGCAGCGTAAAATACATATTATTTTATATTTTGTATTTAGTCGATTGGTCGTGTGAAAATATATGCCGAATCAGTTTGTTTTATCTAAATTAGCATCACGTGTAACTTAACTTACCTGTGTGGCGACGTTATACATGCCAGTTGTAGTAAACTGTAGATACGAACCTATATTTTTGGTATTACTAATTGGTTAATGCCTTAATAATCTCATCTGGATAGCCGGAAGCTGACAAAAAAGTTGAGCTCATAAAATGGATTTGTTGAAAAAAAATACACTAGACCATCAGTGATGTTAGGTGTTGAGACCAAATGAAACGATATTAACGTTATTCTCATTTAAAAGCTACTATATTTTATTTTTATGTGGTAATTACCGATGCTCAGTAGTTAAGTGACAAGAATGAGAGAACGAGGTTCAGAAATAGACTGAACTGTCATATAAAATGTCGTCTTGGCTCTTACGAAGTAAACGCATTAACATCGATTATCTCGTGTGAAAACTTTGTAAGTGTATACATATATTATCAGTGATAGAGTGTTGGCAGTCCAATTTAATAATACATGTACAACGAAATGATGACGTTTTACATAAGCCGTTATGATCGGTTTTGATTGAAGCGTTCAACCGAATCAACTTAATCCCAACATGTAACCGTCGATAAACAACAAAGTGTCAGTACACAGATGAAATATCCAATTAACTAACACTGTGCACCGACTTACGAGACAGGGGTCTACAATAAACAAAATAAATAGACGGTATTTTTTTCAAGATAACAAAATAATCTTAGTATAACATATGGATACATGTATGTACCTTTTATTTTAAAAGCATTTAAAGAACAAGAATTTCATTCAATTGTAGAAAGCGTCTTTGTAAACGACAAGTCTAAGCATTCCTTTGAGTCGTGCAATTTTTGATTTAGTTTTTTCAAAAAGTAAAATGTATAGAATGATCTCAAAGGATTATTTTTGATTTTAAACGTCCGATAGTTTATCCGTCCAAAAATAAGCAAAATGAAATCGTTAAAAATACATACAATCACATTAAGTAATATTTTCAAATGGTATTCAGTTATAATTTTGATTTTCGAATATTCAATAGTTAAATATTTAACGTTTCACTTACGAATTCTTAATAAGGTAAAGTTAAAGCAAAACAATATAATGGATCACTAACTGATTAACCATTTAAAAATTCACGCCCCCGGCACATGGGCAACTTTTTCGGATCTATGGCAGCCACACGATTTGTCCATTAGACGTCAGCACGGCGAACCCGTCACGTGAATTTTCGTGAAACTGTAACAATATTTGATGTATTATCGCCGCCGATAAAAATAAGTGTCAGTTTTTTAGGCCGCACAAAACGCTAAAGTGCACGAAACAAATTTTGTCATTCATGGACGTACGTTGTGTTATCATATCGTTAACGGTCTTGTAAACACGCATGCCGACGATTGATTGCATGACGAGAAATTCATTAGCAAGATTTTACGTTCTCATTTAGTTGTTACGAACACACACCATTTGCATGTATTAATTTTTTAGGCAAAACAAAAATACAGCAGGTCGACAGTGAGGTAGCGGAGATTGCTACCCGCGTTTGATTTAAGTTTTTTTCTTTTTTAAGCACACTGCACCTCCGTTTTATTGCTGTTGGAAGATATCCAAATTAACTTTGTTTACTGTGTTCTTTACAGATGTCACGGCGTTCAAGCAACAGTCATTTAGGGTGTCGCCCAAAGACGTTAACGCCCGAGAAGGTGCAAATGTGACGTTGCGCTGTGAAATTAACGACATCGCCGGCGACTGTCAATGGACCAAGGACGGGCTGGCACTTGGTAAGTATTTCACTATGTTTAGAACGGGGTTCAATAGGTCCCTTGTGAATTGGTCGGTGGGTCCAATACGTTTGAAACTGACATCATGTTTGCGGTTGGTTTGACATCATCCGCGTGACGGGAGTTCCAGATGAAATTGAGCGAAAAAACCACCGTGTAATGTTTTAATATTTTCGTTATTTATGACTACATACCGCGGTGTCAATTATAGGTTATGCCGCAGAAATACCAGGACATCCTCGTCACTCGATGGTGATCGATTCCGGAAACGGAGTGTACAATTTACTCATCAGGAATGTCATTCAAACGGACGACGCTCTTTACCAGTGTCAGGTGAGCCCTGGCCCAGCCGCCGGAAGCAAGCCCATCAGGTCTTCTGCGAGACTGACCATAATGAGTGAGTGATTGAACTTTTTTAGACCATATTGAATCGTTACCCTACAATTAACACATATCAAACAAAAATTGATCCTATCGACTCGCGCTTTACTGTCCTGTGATATAATTTTCGGAACTTATGACAGTAATTACTTTTTTAATAACAATAATAATTCGATTGTAACATTTTGCCTCGATTTGAAACGTCGTGTATATTTTTAATTACGCTTTAATCCAACTCTCTTTGTCTACAATCTCTACATCGTTTTTAATTAATTTTTAATGGATGGCAGAAAACTTTTTGAACTCTACTAATAACGATTAAAAACTATCCCTTAAAAACAAAACATGTGCAACGTACACGTGATTAAACAAATAATTTACATAGCTACCATCACTCCCTGGTGCGCAATATACAGAATACATTATGTGGACCGATTAGGAGACTGTGGCGGTAGGCGTACAATTAAAATGGTATACTAAATAACTTTGGTGTAATAATTTCACCCGACAAAAAAAATAAAAGAATTACATTATAATTGCCGGTCAGGGCGACTAGCATATCCAATCACGTGGGCTAAACGAGGTGCTTTAGTTATTTTTTGTTTCCGTTCTGAATCATCGACTTAATGAGAACACCTTCGTTTATTTCACACTGAATCAAAGTTAAACACTGATAATAACCTGATTTTTATCGGATCACACTGGCGTAACGATGCCGTTTTTACGGATATTTGATTATGTGTGCGACAGCACTCGTGTCCATAATCCATAACATTTCCTACAGTGTATTACACTTAGTATGAACTATTAGCACCTATGATACGAGTGATGACACTTACTACGCGACCGGAGAAGTATCAATGAATGTGTGAATGTCAAGACGAAACATTTCGTCAGTCACTTTTACTTTTTATGAAAAAAAAAAAAGCGTAGCCGTTATTTGCCAACATTTACACCCGCATTACACATTTTAAGCCAGATGATACAGATTAAATGTGTGTTATGAGAGTAACAACAAACAAAAGCACTGTGCGAGCGAATCTGCTCAATGTGTTAAAAAAAAAACCGTACATGTTATCGCGTTAGTCTGATGGCAGATATACTCGGGAAAACTATTAATTAAAAAAAATATATCTAACCCAACGTTTACATAATTTTCTCACGTAATAAAAATAAAACACTCAAAAAATAAATTACAAAACAGAATGGGGTTTTTTGCTTTTTGCCGTTTAAATTAGAGGCCTGTGTAATATTGTTTAAACGCTCGCCATAATAAAATCTTTAGCCACAGGAAACATATTATTATTATCATTGTTATTATAAAACAATGTCGAGCTTTTTGCAAGAGTACAAAGTACTCTGCTTGTGTTATTATAAAACCACAAAAGTCTGATGTAAATTCTCTAGTACTTAACTTACTTCTTACGGACTTAATATACAACAGTGTTTAATTATCCCAAAAAATCATACACGTCTTTTAACAGCATTTCGAACGATTACAACCTAAAATTTTGTATAATCTTCAACTCTATGTATCTTTACCAAGCAACACATATTTTTTTTACCATAGTTTATTCAAGAGGAAAACATTTTTTAATTCGACGTGAACAGTTATGTCAGAAAAATTTACTTTGATTATAAAAACTACAAAGGAGTAATTTAAATATATTTTAAATTAGAATATAACGTAAAAACAGTTTTACTCACAAGTTTCTTTACGGTCCCAAAAAAATAATTTTCACTAAGAAAATATGATATAACTCGGTATTATTCCAGTAGAGAAAACTGGTGTAATATGGAAAGTGACACTCGACCACGACTCTGACGACGTTAGATACTAAAATATTTATTTTCTTAATCAATAACCATTTCGCAATAGAATTATTGATCTAACAATAAATATTGTTGAAATTCAAAACGGGAGAGAAAGAGTAAAATGATACTTTTTGTTATCCAGTAAATCTAGGCCCGGTATTAATACTTATTTGACAATATTTTTATAGATCATATTAATTTTCTGGACCACCTAATAAAATATAAACAACTATCAGGTCAACTCAGGAGCGTGAAAGACAAAGTTTTTTTTTTGTTCCTAAATGCACTTGAATAATTTATACTTTTCAAAACTTTTAAGCAATAATAAAAAAACACTGCACATAGTGAAAAACAAATCTGTAATTATAAACAATTTAATTTTATATAAAAAATATGACTCCATCCTCTGTAAAATATAAAAATATATATAATGAACGTCACAGGAAACTGATAAAAAATTTATAACTCTACACAGTTTATTGTATTTCTTCTTCTTATTGAACAAATCACAAAGTGACAAAAAGAACATAATGGACCCAGTAAAAGATGTTTATAAACATTTAGTTCCTCAAAAAATAAATAAATAAAACGATAAATCAGTAGGTAAATTTTACCTTTACACTTCTTGTTGGGCTTTGACTCGACGACAATACTTTTGCGTTCCAACGTCTTTTTTCCGGAGAACAAATAAATAATATTTTATAGAATAAACATTGAATGGGATAAATAAAAATAAAATATTTGTTTTTTCAAGTATATTTTTCAAACACTCTAAATGTCGAGTGCATAATAATGCGATTTATGCATTTATAGGACAAAAGACGACTTATTTCCATTATTTATGATATAAAATATTTTCACCTCTGAGTAAAATCAAGGAGGGATTTAAATAACAAACTTTGTAAGTTGATGATATTTGATACCGTGTACAGTACCATTGAAATGTCAGGCGACCCACCCTTTGTACGGTGGTACATTGTGAGAACGATAATTATATTAGTTTTAAATGCCGACATTTGTTATTAATTTTGAAATATTAAGTACGAGTAGGACCTGGTAGTTTTGTCTTATTTCTCGAGTTCAAACTATACATGATTTTTGTGTCTGTAACGGTCCCAGAGGATTCCAGTCCAGATGTCACATCGCCACCACTACACACGTATATTGTAATGTGCACAAAGAGTCCCACATGGATGCTTATAAATCAAACGCAGTTTATCGCTGTCGGCTGTATTATTTCGGCAAAAAGTGGTTTTTTTTTTTTTTTGAAAGAGAGACAGCTCCTTGGTTTGCATGTTCTAGAAACACACATGTGACACAATACGTGTGACTCCCCCATAAAGTACACATATTATATTAAAACATAAGCGCCTGTGGGTAATAGAATAAAAAATACATACATCAAATGTTGATCCTATATAGACATCTATATATTTTCAATAACCCAAAATAAACGCATTAAATATTTTATTGCAGGGCCTCCGTCTTCAGTGGAAATTGTTGATCAATCTTCGGATTCCATTTTGGAAGTACAAGAAAACCACGAGGCCACCATAGACTGTTTGGCCAGAAACTCAAAACCGGCGTCAAAAATAATATGGTTTCGCGGCCATGTCGAAATCAATCCGGGTTAGTATTATTGTGTCATTAACACACGAGATAATTCACTGTGAGAAATATTACATTTCATTACTCGTTGGATCTTTGTGTAGTATTCATTTCTTAACAAAACACATTGTGTTTTAATTACGGGTCATAAATTAAAGAGCTATCTTCTCCCCGGCGCAATAACGCAAAAGGGCGAGGCAAACTTCGAACTTTATAATACCATTATTTATCATTAACCGGTGAAAAATTTACTGTATCCAAAAGTGGTATCTTTATGCCTTAATACTACTGAACTCGTCATTCAATCACTTGAAAACGTCATAACCTTAACCGAATAATTGCAAACATTTTATATTAAGTACTAATGAAACTATCTTGTACGCTAACACAGCTGAAAACTTTTCAACAAATTCTCATTGTACGTTTATTTTAATTATAGAACACCGAGTGGATAATATAACAGAAGAAATTCTAGGAAAAACCAAATTAAAATTGTACACAGTTCACAGTCAAATAAAAGTGCCGACTACGTTACAAGACGACCGATTGAAATACTCGTGTGAGGCTAGACACGAGGCTCTATCAGAACCCTTGAAAAGTTCAATTGAAATTAGAGTTCTATGTAAGTACATGACTTTGATTCTTAAATGTTGTCACTTCGTAAAACTACGATCACCACTATCTTTTCAGTTATTGACATTAGTGTTTAACATTAGCGAAACAATAAAAAAACAATTTATAGTATGATAAATATTTGGTAATTTCGACCGATAAATTCTACAGATGACTTTACAGTCCAAAATTATCTGATTAAAACATTGTTTATTTTAATACACTCCGAATTATTCTATAGATTCGAAAACGACACAAACGTTATTTATTGGATCCATTAGAGTCTTCATTGCTAATAACATTGTCCCGTCCGTAATTTAATTTTACTATTTGAATATTATTATATTCTCCTAGAATAGCCAAGATAGTATTCAATCCAATCGAATAAGTAATAAGTAGTCACTGTATTTTAATTCTGCCGTAATGTTCGTTTTTATAATTTGTCGTCACAAAGAATCGAAATACACTAGACAAGGCGAGATGGATTTTTCATATCGAAGATGCATAACCCATTCCAATTCAAAATAATATTGCGATTGTAACAATATGTAAATTCACAGCGGATTACGCCGCTGGAGTCTTTTAACGTTCGACACATAATAGGCCCAAAGCAAAAACGAAGACCGTAGAATTTCTATTATTAACTAGAAGTCCACAAACTAAATATAATGATTGTAATTATTTACACGCGTTATTCTCATGGTACGAATGAAATTCATTCACACTGACTGCCGTCCACATGCTATTCATATTTTAGCGTTCGAGAACAATATAATATTTATACGACTGACGAATACGTTTCGTCTACATTGTTTTGCTCGGAGGACCAATCGTTAAGCTTTGTCTGGGCTGAAAATACTTCATCACTATGAGAGCGTTCATAGACAATTTATTATATTCTTCACTTGTACACAGAGTAAAGAATATTTACATAAATTTGAATCGATCTAGAAAGTGCAGTAATCATTTTTAAATGTAATTCGGTTTTGGGATAATTCACTTTGACGTATATTCATGTAGACAGTGTTGTAGCAATAAAAATATTCGCCGCAGGTGATTTTTAGTAAGTGCCTTTATACGGGCAAACTGAATTTAAAGTTTTAGCTGAATGACCATTTTTTCCTGGTTTTCTTGGCAGGCCTTTTCTGAAACTATTGATCTAAAAATCCTATAATTCATACCCTCCGTAAACTTTCGTCCAGTGACAAGACACGAATCTGCACTAACTACCGCCTTTTCTCTTAATAATTTACACAAAGACTTAATTATAAACGATCTTAATATTATAATTAATAATGCTATCAACAAATTATAAGTCAATCTTATTCGACTCGATTTTCTTGTTTCTGTTGAACAGATCCTCCTAGTATGCCACACATAGAAGGATATATAGATGGAGAAATTATCGACAAAGGCCAATATGTCAACCTGCGGTGTGTATCAAAGGTAGGAAACCCTCCAGCCCAACTGACGTGGTTCAAAAATAATCAACCTATCCAAACTGAATACAGGTAAATTAACCAAAATTTATAATGGCTGTTTATAAAAATGTAAAATGTAAAAACTTATATCTATTGTATGTTTAATGAGTAAATCGTCAGGACCGTAATTATTACCTTACAATAAAGCAAACACACAATTCTTTAATGTAATTAATTTTTTACGACGTGGTTAGTATTTGAACTGTAGTAAACATAGCAATTGCTTTGTTTGAATGAATTAATGCACTAGCCATAATCAATTACACNCAAACACACAATTCTTTAATGTAATTAATTTTTAAGACGTGGTTAGTATTTGAACTGTAGTAAACATAGCAATTGCTTTGTTTGAATGAATTAATGCACTAGCCATAATCAATTACACGCTTTTAATCCACATAAGATGTTATATTATATTCCCACGCGAAACACTCAAGTTAATCTGAATTGAGTTTTCGATAGTCGAGTCTATCAGCCAGTTAGTATTTTTCTGAAAATGGTTGATTCAGAATTTTCTTTTCATCGTGTCAAAATGACCCAATGAGAGGCCGCGATTCATACACTTGTTTACCTAAAAAGGTTTTATGTTTTTCTCCGAACCGTTGCAGTAAAATTTAATAACTTAACGGTATTTGAAATTATTAACACTAAATCAATTGATGATAACTACACCTTTCATCATATCATTTTTCGCACAATCGAGCAATTTCGCGTTCATCTTGAAATTTGTACGCCACACATTTTAATTCTCTCGTAGCGGCAATTCTTTTTTTATTTTTGGTCTATAAAATGTATTCACCTTTTTTCTGTTTCAGAACCAGTGAAAAAGTGTCGGAAAGCACGTACTCGTTCATTGCAGACGTTTCAGACAACAATGCGAAGTACAGATGTGAAGCGAAAAACTCAATTAGCCAAGTTCCACTGAACACCGACGTAGTGCTTTCGGTGTCGTGTATGTACTTTTCAATTTTAGTACCTTTACATTTTTTTACTTTTAGTCGATATAATTAAAATTCATCCCATTAGAATTGCCATCGACAAAGGCTAATTCTTGTTAAAATACAAAACTGGGTGCAAAACGGGATATTTACTTTTATTTCAAACAAATTTCACTACATATTAAAACGTTATCGGATACACGATATAGGAGACCGGGAAGGCGTGTAGAATGACACAGTTAATATACCGATATTAAAAAATTCATCGCTGTTCAGTGTAATGATAACATTAATATTGAAGGATCTCAAAGGGCAGCTTGTTTTAATGTAATATACATACCAACGAGTACTTAAACAACACTATCGTTGCCGCCGCCGCCGACGGTTAAGGTGTAGATGCCGCACAGCCTCGATCTTTTCCTTTACCTACGATTTCATACCGACGGTTTGATTATAATAATATGTAAACCATAATATCCAGTACACTATTTAAAAAAATAAAATAAAGAAATTTCACCCTGCAAGATGTCTGTAGCATCTGACAAACGATTGCTATCGCTCTGATTATTATCTAATGCATAACATTATACTGGCGCAACAACAATAATATCTAGTTCCCATACTTAATAACATCAAAAACGCTTTGTTTTACACTAGACTGCGCTTCTCACACCAGTCGTTTACCTTTCATACGACACTAATTACCTTTGGAGTTATTATTATGTTTGCTTACAACTTTTCCTTTGGAAAACATAACACTAATTATAAAACGTAATCAAGTAATAAACTTCTGGACTATATTATTTGATATTTTCTCGCAATCAACTAAATTACGAAGAAAGTCAAAAACAGTTTTACACAGTCCGTCATTTTTGGTTTTTCCTAAAATCAATTCATCTTGTCAACAAAAAGACATTATAAACGTGCCATTTATAGGGAGTGATACATATGTCTTTTCGGTTTTTCTTTATCAAAGTTGCTCTCCAGAAAGGAGGTCAAGTTTTAAGAATGAATTCCCGAGGGATGGCATACAGTTTCTATTTGGTTACATCTTTTCCTTAAATAAATAGTTGGATGATTTTTCACTGTTTTTTTTTTTTAGTCGCTTCGGGTCACGTTAAAATCAAAGGACCAACTGAAGCCAAACAAGGGGAAATAATAAATTTAACTTGTGAAACTGGTCGCAGCAATCCTCCGTCGGTGATCAATTGGCTAGTGGCCGGTGAACAGGAAAGGAATAGCACGTCCACAGTGGTAACTGCGCCGCAATCGAGTTGGATAACAAAATCAAACGTTTCATTCGTCATGCCGGCCGGTCAACGGTCGGTCGTGGCCACTTGTCAGGCCGTCAACAACAACCCCTCAGACCGAGTGGTAGCCACCCACAAGATTAACGTGCTGTGTAAGTACAACAAAACTATAAATTTATATTACATCTCGTGAACGCAAACACACAGAGATGAACTAAAATAATAATAAAATTAGGTTGAGTTTAGTTTTCTCGTTTGTGGAACGCACACCCACACACTACCTCTCGTAATGCGCGCCTAGGTGTTGGGTACACAGACACTCGTATTGTTATTAAAATACTCGGACCGCGACCAGATGAAGGATATGGTGTGCGCGATTCAGTGGTAATGAAGTCACACGTATATTGAATATCGAGTGAAGAAAAGTAATGAGAAAAAACCACAATCTAGTGTATTAGATGTCACTCAAAAGGAACCGCGTAACAAACAAGAAAAATAAAACACAATAACGTATAACAAACGTATAAACAGTAAATTATTTATACAGTATATGACCGGAAAAAACAACACTGCGCTAATAATATTTTATTCAAACAAAATTAGTCTATTCAATAAAAATTATTCGATAGTAGGTGGGTTCAGCTCGAATAAAAGTTTTCACGTTACACGGAAAACCTTATGTAACAGTCGAATCAGATCCGTTTCTTTGGAATTGTTTTTAATATCCGAATGTTTAATATTTCCTTCCGATTTGCAATCATGTTCAGCGCACACATTAAAACATAGTAACGTATGTTTTATAACAAATCAAAAATAATAACCGGACCGTAAATGCTTTCAATAGTCCTTAAACTCAAGACGACCATTTTTAATTGAAATCCGTTCACCAATTATGTAACTCCAGCTTGTTAAATTTTATGTGGTGTCGTTTTGATGTGTACCGATAAAATAACTGGTTTTTGAAAATAAACACGACTTTATCTAACTGAGATACTTGTGTTGGACATTGCAGCGTTAAAAACACTTTTATCTAAAGAGATGTATAATATCGTCTTATGAGCGGCCCATTTCAATAATACTCTTAGCAGTTTCGCGATTCCAATATTCAGTGAATAATTACTGAATAACTGAGAAATAATCATACACGATATTTATGTATTTTAAATCAGATTTACAATCGCTTTTAAACACTACAGCCGCCTAGCAATAAATCAATTTTTCCAATACTTCTTTTTAAGGCGCAACGTTGTAATTGAAGAGTTAAAAATCAACGCGCACTACCATTTTATTATGAATATTATCAAATACTATAAGAAATCAGCCAAACGAACCCACGCTTGTTTCTAATTCTGTGTAATGTACAGTTAACGGTAATGCCGCATTTATTTTTTAGAGTTATTAAAAATTATACACGACTTAGATTACTCGCCATTCGCTTATGTATAGCGCACGTCAGCGTGTGTGTGCGTTTTTCTTATCATTTAATATTTTTTTTACAGATCCGCCTGGAGCACCGATCATAATCGACTACTCGTCCGGTAATCCAATTCTGTCTGGAGTGGTCCATAAGATGTCTTGCTTGTCGACCGGCGGCAATCCGCTAGCGTCGATCGCATGGTACAGAAACGATAAAAAGGTATCAAATTAATAATTATTGTTTTTAACCTATTTGCGCTATGGCTGCTCGTGTTCTTTCTAACTTAAAACCACCACGAAGAAATAATATATTTTTCCGATGAGTGTATTATGAATAAAATAAAAAGAAAGGAAAAAAACTGATTCAAAATTACCCTTAGTGTAAAAGTTTCATGGACACCCAGAGGTAGTAAAAGAATCATTTCCGTAAAAAGGTCTGGGTAAAAAAGTTCTGTTGGGTTATATCTATTTATATTGTACCCGAGAGGGGTATGGGGTTACCCTTTTTGCTACCAATAAAGCTTCGCCTTCAAATCTAATTCACCGCGGTCGCTCGACTTCCGAGACTGTTCGATAAACGCAATAAATATCTTTTTGGACCTTTCTATCGACACAAAAAAATGCCACTACTTCTAAAACCTCAATAGAATCATCACGGGTATTCTAAGGTGAGCAGAAACGACTTTTTAAAAATCTTGTTAGAAAAACGATTGGTACTGCGGCCCGTCTTAAAATACATTCGGTAAAACAGACGGTTTGATTGCGGATCGGTATAATAGAACGCGATTGTAATTTGAACATATAAGCGCTTTAGCTATGTCAGACAAGCATTTTTTAATAATAAAAATGTCCTTCATTTAACTAAATAAAAACGGGGAAAATACACAATAAAAACATAAAGAGCCTTTTTTGAATTAACTCAAACAAAAATGTATCTATGAATCATGCAGAGCGGTTCAATTGTTTTTCGAATAGTAAAAATCTTTTTTTTGATTTTACATCCCAACCTAATCTAAAATCGTCCCCTTAAATTCATCGTTGTATTGCCAACGTATCTAAAATGATGGTTACTTAAGTCTGTGATTTGTATTATTGTACAAATAATCAATTAAGTTTCAGTTATAAAATCTCCAAATTTCAATTATAAAACATGAAACACGTGATGGGCATAACTAAAACCATTATTTTTTTTTAATAATATGTTAATATAGTCTAATAATATATACAAATTACAAATTCCAAAAAGAGTTAGTCCATTCGTTAGCAATGCAAATAACATAAATAATCTATTAAAACAATTCATTTAGAATAGAAATCTTCTTCTTGACATTTAACCCGTTGAATCCCAATTATTTAACAGATCCATAATATATTTCTAGTGTTCGCGTTGAAAATTTCTGTACTACTTACAAATGTATTGTTTGGTTGCATGTTTGGCAACCGGTTTGTGTTAATCAGTCTAACGACACACGTTTATACGTAATTATAGCTAGTAATTATTTTAACGGAACTCAATATAATTGAACCATTAATACCGTGTAGTGTTATAATGTAAATAATTAAAAGTCTAATAGAACTATGTGTTTTTGCCCTTCGTCATCAGGTGCAATCGGCCATAACGAGCAACGAGAATTCCGTTTCGGCTGATCTATCATTTCTGGTCAACATCACGGACAACGATGCAACGTACAAGTGTGAAACAACGCACCCTGCCCTTCAAATTCCGCTGATTAAAACCATTAAGCTAGACGTACAGTGTAAGTGAAAACGATTACATTGTAATGATATTGGGTATCGTCAAAGGTCCAAATTGGTTTTTAGAAAATCATGATTAGGTATTACTTATGAAAAGTAGTTAGGTGAACGAGCGTACTCAAAACGAGTGTTTTGAAGTGAGAGTACAGTGAAAATAATATAGAACTGATAATAGACAGGAGTAGGTATGTCTAGTGCAAATCAAACATTAGCCCATCATACTGATAAACACGGCCCGTGACGCAGAACTCGATATCACTGGCCGGAAACTGTCATGCTAATTATGGTTATTTTACATTTATTAATCTGTTGCTAGTCGGTGATTTGAGTGAATTAAGAGAGTAGAACAGGTGACGATAAATTTTACTTATGTAAACGAGAATTAGAATCTCTGTTTAGTAACGGACCGAGCGTTCGTGGTGTGATGAAGCCTCCGCAAGTTCGCCAAACTAGACAAACTAGTGTTACGAGCCAATAACAAGAATTAATTGAATGAACTATCCTAAATCCTAGGCTTTGAATCAAATGTGTAATTATTACGCTCGGCCTTAGACATAAATTCATCGTCCTGCTAAGCCCGACCGATTGTGAGTCGTAATGTGCAACAAGCGCCCACCGAAAGTAACAGGTGCGCCCGGGTCGGCGTGGGCCTCGTGTTCGATAATAATATAATTAATTCAAACGACTTTACACAGCAATTTGCGACCGTTTCCTTAAACGATCGGCATGGCTCGGACAAAATTGTCCGGCTTCCGATTGTACGAAAGTGAACTGACTGTTGTGATACAGGTGGTCGTCGATTTATGGCCTGATAAATGTTGAGTTATTGTAGGCATAACACATCGACCCGATAGAGTATCGTTTAATTAGCGGTTCTTCGAGAAGTTTCTTGATTTTCAGCCGGTCGTGTGTAGTATTTTTTTATTAATCGTACAATTTAATATCGCGTTCATTCGTGTGTGATACAATATTTAATAATTCCAGTCATGCCCGACCACCTGCACGTCAAACAAGAGCCGGTGCACCTGAAGCCGGGCACGAGGGCAACACTCACCTGCGAGGCTACGTCTAGCAACCCGGCGGTAAAAATGAGCTGGTGGCACGAGGGTATACCTGTCACGGAGGGCATCAATAGCTTCTCTAAACCTGGTCTACATGGCGGCAAACTATCCACTATTCAAATGACAGTAAACGTGACGCCTGAAGTGGACGAAACGGTGTACACATGCCAAGCTACTAGCTTGGCTCTTCACAAAAGCATACACCGAGAAGTCACCTTAAATGTTTTGCGTAAGTTTATTTTATCAAAGTCTATTACAAACCACATGTGTACGATGTATACTCGTGTACCTTATTTGGAATTCATAACATATTATATAGTCGCTTGAAAGGCTATTTGCTGTAAAAGATACTACTCACACTTTTCAGGAGAGCCAAAAAATAATTTGGTCTTTTTTTTTTTATTAAAATTGTCAAACTTTTGTAGTTATATAATTAGCCCTTCATTTTAATGCGTATTATATTAATCTTCATGAAAAATGTATAGTTTTTTAATTATATTAGTTTATCAATCTTAAGTAAATATTTTTAATTTATTAATTGCGTTGTTTACTATATATTATTTTGTCGTTCACATCATTTTAAAATGAAATACTTCAAACGCCACGAATTTGGCGTGTACGTGAAAATTTTAAAAAATATTGGCGATTAACACAACAACTATAAAGTCGCTTACTACTCACTCAATTGAATATCATGTATGCGTCCAAAAGCATCATCAAACTATTTTCGTAAATGATATTATAAAATTTTTATCTTAGCTTTAACCTTTGAAAACCTTTATTGGACATTATAAACGTATTTTTTTACCCATTCAGTGAACCATATCTACACACCTGTTCTATTAACTTCTGTTTCTTCGTTAACCCTTCAATGGTTTACCCTGCACTCACACGGTTATGATAATATTATTAAGATTGTTTCTTTAGCGTGACCACATCCGATTATTAAAATCTTTCAGCTGCACTGCAATGTTAATTATTATTATTATCCGTTTATATTTGGTAATTCAATAATCAAGCACATTACATATTCATTTAATTTAAATCGATGAGTTCTCCTCTTAAATCCACAATAATAATTTCAAATATTATTTTTACATACATTGTTGTTAATGACTAAGTCAATATACAATCTTCAGTATCTCAAACATTTTTTTAGAAATGCATAACGAATTGGTTATAACGTTTCACTTTATACATATTTAAATGAAGCGACCCAACAAACCTAATTGTCTAATTGTTATTAATTTCCTTATGCAAAATCACTATCATATAACGATAAAATTATTAAAATTAAATTTACCCCTGTATTTTTAATAAAATGTTATATATATATTTATTTATTTCATAATAACGAAAATTAACAGGATACATTTAAGAAAACGCGTTTAACACTATTTTTTTGGTTCTCCATAGACAAACCTTCATTTGAATCATATCCAGACCAGATCACGTCTTCGGAAGGAGATAACCTATTCGTCATGCTGCAAACAAAAGGTCGTCCAACGCACATGACTTACAAATGGTTCAAAGATAACGAGCCGTTGCGGACCTTACACGGACTATACCTACGGGATTCCAATATGAACATCACGGGATTGGTGCGAGATGATGCGGGCAATTACACCTGCGAGGCGACCAACTCTGAAGGGTCGTCGTCTTTAACGTTTCAGCTGACAGTTAAATGTAAAGCAAATCTATTACAATAGTCCTAAATAAGGTTTTTTTGTATTTTTCATTTATTTTTCAACAGATAAAGCTACCGTGACAAACGCTTCCGTCGGAGTGGTCGTGACCGGAGGTCAAGCTGCCATTCTGTGGTGCAACATCGACGGTTTTCCTTTAGGTGCCGAACACGTGACCTGGACACGTCCAGATTTTGATTTCGATGGAAGAACTTCCGCTGTATTCCGGAATAAAACGTCGTACCTGACAATAATAAATGCAACAAGGGCGGATGCAGGATCATTTGATTGCGTTGCCAACAACGGATTGGGCAACGTCTCTTCTTTGTCAGCTTCACTAGTTGTTGAACGTGAGTGTCGCTTATAAGTAAAAATGTAAAAATCATCCGGTATACTTTTGGCTAACCCGAACAGACCGAAATCAATAAACATTTGAAAATAATTGGGCCATTTTTGTTCGTTTCAGATAAACCTGAGATGACATTATTGGAAAACGAAATGAAGACGGCGAGCAACGCGGGAGTCGCGGCTAAGTTACACTGCCGAGCTGTAGGCGCTCCGTCTGTTCGGTTCACCTGGGAACGCGATGGATCAAATATAACGAGTTTGTCTGACAAGTACATCGTCGAGGAAAAACAGGTAAACTTTTAAACTTCTATCGTGTTAAATATGTATTTGTGACGTGTCTAAGTACAAAAAGTTAGACCGAAAAGAATGTTGTTGTTCATGGGCATTATTTATTGATTTGTTCTTTATAACAATAAATTAGAATGACTCGGATTATTATTTTTTAATTGAATTAGTAATATTTGGCAGCGTGTTTGAGTTTATGTATGACATGAATTCATAAAAATAATAAAACTATAAATACTTTTATAGACTAAAACAGTTATTGGTACCAAATCACTAATAATAAAATTTGCAAAATTTTGTATTGATTGAAAATAGTTAATTATTATTGTTTCCTCAAAGTATCTGATTTAAATTATTCGTTTGGTGTATTAACAAGAATAATTACCACTTTCTACACGAATAACAAGTTCATAGCTCAAAATAATTGAATATTTTACAAAACTTCCGAAAAATAAGCTTACTGAGAATTTAATATAAGAATTAAGTATTGATATAGAATTAAGTATAGCTGAGTATTGGCGCCGGGGGGGGCTACACTCGATAATTCGGTACTAGAGGCCCATGCGTTAATTTAAAGTCATAAGGGGTGGGTACCGATGGAAACACTTCTAGTTGTACGCACACCGTGTCTAATAATAGTAATAATGGAAATCATGTATGTTATTTTGTGTTATACAGTTGGACGCGACGCGTTACGAATCGACGCTAACAATACTTCAAGTAGAGCAGTTCGATTATGGAGATTACACGTGCACTGCCAGTAATCACTTGGGATGGACCAGCTCCGTAAACCAGTTAACGGTCTTCTCGCACCCCGACCCGCCGATCGATCTTCGAACCGTCAACACCACAGACACGGCCGTGTTGCTCGCATGGTCTCCTGGTTTCGACGGAGGTAAATACCTCTTAACCGGCTATTTAACTACGGTTGCAATATTTACACAACATCTTTAACACTTTTTAGGAGAACCGGCAAATTACCGAATACGGTACAGGGCGTTCAACAAGCAGACGTATAAATACGAGGATTTGGGCAATGAAACTCAGTATTTAGTCACCGGACTGGACCCGGACACTTCGTATCTCTTCGGCGTGCTGGCGCACAACGTATACGGCGACAGCCAATACACTTCCGAGAGTCTAAGAGTTACCACTACTGGCGGATCGCCCGTGACCGACTCGGGTCTCAACAAGGCTGGATTAGACCGCGGAATGTACATAGTATTAGTCTTGCTGGCCTTAGTCACAGGTGGCCTCATACTATTGAACATTATAGTGGTCACTTATTGCATACACAGGCGACGCAGATTCAACAAACGCGTCAACGGTAAAATTTTAATTTTTAATATTTTCAACATCAATTCAGTTTTATTTGATGCTCTGAACAAATTTAATATTTCTACTGGGTTTTTTTTTTCGATTGAATGTATCTCTTTTAATAATCCATCTACGTTTTTTTATCTATATTATTTACAATGTAATTTTCTGTGTTACATTCATTGCATTCTCCATTAATCTTACTCGATATTTATCCATTTGCAACTTACGCTTACAACGATACAGAAAACACGCGAGACGAAAAATAGAAGCAATTATATACAATAAGTAAATGTTTATTTAAGTTTTGACTAATTGGTGTGTTTGCTTTTTGTAGATAACACAGATCAGAGTAGTAAAACACCGACAATTGAAATGTATGCACCTAACACATACAATGCAGGCTACGATGAAAACATGAGTTCTATATCAGAGAAGTCCGAGACTTACTCGAATGTCTCTCCAGATTACAATGTAAGCTTATATCGTATAAAGTAAAAAAGATCATCATCATTTACAATTCAGTAAATTTTCATAAAATAAATGATATTTTAAATCAATTAAATTCGTAAAATATTCTTGACCTAAGAATAAGAGTAGCGTATGTCCAAAAATAACAACTATTAATAGTTACTAGCCAAATTATGATGTACATAATTAGTTTTTCTATTGACAAAAAATCATAGTGAACTACAATTAATCTTATTTATTAATTCTTAATAAAAACGATTATTCACTCAAAATAAATATGATAAAAAAACTACTATTAGTAAAATGACAAAACTAAAAATTTGTTTACATTTCAGGACGATCATCAGCAAAAATCAGCAGTCGAGCAGTCTTATATGATCGAACAGATTGATTATCCTTTTATCAATGAAAACGATCATACAGGTGCTCGACAACACCACCAGCAATACGTAAGCGCAATAGATATAAACGCCTATGACCATAACACAATGGCACAACATAACGTCAACGATCGTTTGAATCTCGGTAAGGCCTATTAAAATACATTTTTGCTTTTTTACCTGACAAAATTTTGATTATTTTTTGTTTCTTTTTTTTTTTTTAATAGAGGATCGTGTCTTCCGTCATCAACAGCAACAGCTCTTGATGCCACCTCCTCCAATGCCCATTATAGCGGAAACAGCCAGGGTTGTGCCGCCGCTTCCTGTGTTGCACAACAGACCACCACCTGCAATACCCACTTCTTTGACCGGTAAATATTACAGTCAGTCGCCACCTCCGCCCGACGTCACCGTGTTTTCCACGCAAAACTTCCTGAAAACGTTTGCACACACGCCCAGCGAAACTGATGGTCATTTAGTCTGAAAACCTGCTGATGATTAGCGCTTGACAGTTTGCAAATGTGCTCGAAGGCAGTGCTATAGATCCGAAAGCGGATCTATAGCTCTCAAAACGCGACGGGTACGAGCTGGCCAACTGCGGTCGTCATTCTAGTCCTCGACCCGCTCGCCGACGGCAACTGTGAAACTAATTAAATTAAGAAATTATCATTATACCATATAGCTCTATACTAAAAATTATATTTATTCAAATTTGATCTCGAAAAGAATGAATTGTTGTTAAGACTTAACTTAATTTCGTACCATTACTACACTTATATTGTAAAGTAAAACTATCTATGAAAAAGTTATGGTACACATTATATAATAAGATCTATAATATAAAAAATTGCACAAATCATTTATTTTTTCTTGCAATTCCTATTGTTTTATTACTTCTTTTTTTTTTTTTTATTGAGTTAATAAATGTGCCAATACAAATCTAATTTTTATTTAACTGATATCTCTAGTAGATATTTTAGGTTATTTTTTAATACCTATACAGTTTTTTTTTATTAATTTTGTTTGAGTATTTAGTTATCCAACTCATGAATTCTACTTTTTATTTATTTTTCTCTGCTTATGATTTTTATAATTTTTTTTTTCAATTTATTAATGGCATAAATATACATACCAAAACATATTACTCGGCATTGTTATCTGATTACATTGTATAAAGTGTTCTAAATAAATCTGTAAAAATTATGTTTTTATATGGCATTTAATAAAATAATATTATTATTGCATTGATTCAATGCAATAATCAAGTTATATATTAAATAATTTTTACAAAAAGATTTTTAAGTGTTATTAATTGTAACATAATAGAATTATATAACATTGTTATTGTAAAAATGTACATAGTTTAAATAAAAATACTTGAAATTATTATCAACTTTTATTAAATTTTAATAATCGTCAAAACAAAATAATAAATAATTAATACTATCATTTCTTACACATATATATTATATTCAACAGTTTTGTTAATTTTAAGGTCAAAAATATTTTTATAATGGTAATAATTATTTTAAATTTTTGCTATCTTATACTATTACAAAAATTGAGGTAGTTATGAAATGAGTTTTGTACAATTATATTTATATATTTGTTCTATAAGGGCATCATAAGCGTGAATAAAGGTTTCATTTGGCTACAAGCACCCACGTACACATTTCACCATTATTTTAAAGTTTTGTTATAAAAATAAAAATAATTCCTCCAAATTATTTCGGGTCGCCCCGAATCCAAAAATATAAAAGGAGGATTAAAAATTTATTTTTGTCAATTGAATAATTTCTCAAAATAGTTTTTAAATATTATTAATTGGCCGACCCCAAATAGTTGGGACTAAGGCGAAGAAAAAGAAGAATAAGTTTTTAAAAATTATGACTTTTATTTTAATAATTATTTTTTGGTAGCATCCTCCTTTAAAAAAAAAAATTGCCAAGTAGGGGGTTTTGACACCCCCATCAAGATGGCCCTAAATTCCTTTATTACCGTATAAATAATTCGATTTTTTAAATATTATGAGTGTGCAATGTCATCGGTATAGTATACATATTTTACTTTAAACATAATAATATGTTATAACCACACTCATCCAGTAAAAAGGTTTGCTTAACCCTAATAATGTTAAAATAATACCTTTGGAGAAGATAATTTATGCTATTCTGTAATATTATAACATTTTTAAAGAATATTTAAAGTGTGATGTGTAGAAAAATGAATTATAAACTATGTATAAAAGGAAATTTCAGAAGAATGTATAAATAATTTACTATACAAGGTGATTATTTTCACATTAGCTACATTGATCTTTATTAAAATAATAATTACGTTAAAAAAATATTTTTTTGTTTTATATATTTCTGGATTAGTTATTTTTTATTACGTTTTATTTTATATTAATTACTTTTTGATTTCTTTCCTTATACTTTATAAGGGTGTCAACTTTATTTTTTTTATTGGCAACATACATATTTAATTGCCTTATACAATACAAAGTAATCTAATGAATAAAATTATAACAACAACTTTTGACAACTATTTCGGAAATTATTACTATTTTAAAATATAGGCTTGAGGTGAGAAGCGGATATGACAATATTTATCAATAGACATTAATTAGCCTCACCTAATTTTCCCGCCTAGTTATAAAAATGTTAATTACTTTTAAAATAATGGCCCAAATATTTATATTGATCAGTCACTTTCTTTATTAGATTAAATCATTTTTTATTTAATAAGCCAGTTAATAACGTATGTTGACATTTAAAAAATAATGTCGACTCCCTTATAAAGTATAAGGAATGAATTAAAAATGAATTTAATGATTTCCAAATAAAGAAATGTATGAAACTAAAATATACCAAAAGTAATTTTCTTAACATAATTTTCATTTCAATTAAATATTTTTTTAAGAGAAATCGAATGACTAGCGTTAAAAGAATATAACCCTGTGCATTGAGCCTCATTTAAATATTACGAGCATTAAAATATAATGTAATTAATAAAATAACTAGTCGATAACAACTTTTTGTTCATTATTTCGAAAGTCAGTACTATTTTAAAATATTGAAAAATGTTGTCAATAGTTTTGTTCACCTTTCTTTCCGTCTAGGTAAAAAAATATTAATGAATTCTCCGAAATAATGGGTCAAAAATTGTTATGGACCAGTTATTTTATTAATTAGATCATTTTAAACTAGTTAAATATGTATGTATTAAAAATAAATTAAGTTCACTCCATTCTAAAGTATAAGGAATGAAATTAAAAAGTAATTTTATTGATAAATCGAGAAATATATGAAACTAAAAAATACCAAAAGTAAATTTTTAACGTAATTATTATTTTTATGAAAATCAAGTATCTAATGTAAAAAGAATAATGGTTTTCCTCAACTATATTATTTTACGTAAACAACAATATTATTTTATTTATACACTGAAAATACGATTCAGAAGAGTTTATAAACAAGTCTTCTTTTTTTAATTCCTCCCCGTTTTTGAATGTTGGATACCAGATACTCTAAGGTGAACTGATGTTACTAGGGAAGGTATGAGTACAGTTGTTTCCAGTTACCTTTTGCACTGGAAACATGGTGTTTTTTTCCATGGTAAAATACACGTATGGTCACCCATCCAGACACTACGGCGGCAGGTATCATAATATGCCCAATACTTTGCATTACGCATCTTACTTTTATCAATGAAAAATTCGTAATCAGTATTTTGTATTACTTGTATACAAACAAATAATTAATTTATCTGTCATAACATATACACTGTAGTACACTTGTTATTCAATATGTATATACATTAGGGTGGTTTTAGTGAATAGGGATCATTTTAAAAACTTAACTTTTCTAAAATTATACTATCAAAATTAGTTCCAATACTTACAAAAATTAGTTACGCAATATTTCTGGTAAATCAGAAAAGATTAACACGTGCCAAAAAAAGGCCTAAAGTTTGAAAACTCAAAAATGTTGGATAACCGTACATTTTTCATTGTTTTTTTTGTTCAGCAATATTAATATTCAGCAGAATAATGGATTTACAACAAAATTGTAAAAACAAAAGTTGTTTAAAATAATATTTTACACAAATTATATTCTGAACAATTTTTTTATGTATAAAAAGTCAAAATTTTTATGTTTTTAACAACAAAAGTCAATTTTGTTGTTAAAAACTCACAAAATAAATTGAATTCTGTGTTAATTTTACAATACGAAAAAAATTTTTAAAAATTTTAAAAATTTACAAAGACACATCAAACATAAAAACTAAAAATTAATTATTAAACTAATTATCTAAAAGAGTACTCTTTTTGAAATCTGGATATTTACTGCGACAATCATTTACTACTTGAAGCAAATATTGTTTTTGTTTTTCATCGTTTGTTATTTTCGTATTAAACTCCTCCATTAGTTTAACATCCCTTTCAGCTATATTAATGCTATTAATAAGGTCTACTGATATCTTGAAATGTTCATCAGTGCTCCATAATGATCGGTCAATGGTGAGAAAACTAGTATCTTTATTAAAACGTTTGGAAAATTGCATTGATTTTCCACAAATAAAATCTTCAAGATTTTTATTTAATATTCCAGTAGCTTCTTTTGTATTCAATAAATATTTTTTTGGTACATCATCATCTGTATGAATTTTTAGAGCAGCTATAATTTTTCTTTTTGTATCAAATGGAACATTAGAATCAAAAAGTGATAATACCGTATTCTCTGGCGATAGATACCATAAATGACCACACATTTTTTTAACTGTAACTTCTAATATACATAATGTATTTACAATAATGTATTTTTGTCTATTGACTGATAATTTACCGAGTTTTTAAAAAAAATTTAAAGCTTGGTATGGTCCAATAGAAGCAAGTGGTGCACTAACCAAGCTCTAACGTATAATCTAATAATAAATATACAAACATTAGCTATTGACATTTCTTCTTTTTGGGTTAAATTTAATTGGTTTCGGAATATAAATATTTTTAAGCAATATAAAGCTTTTGACATCCATCTAGCATGATGGAACTCTAAATGAAACTCCCCTTAGGGGAACTCCACCAAGAAAAATAATTGTTAGTTCTAAATCTCTCTGCAATCTTCTCTGGGTTGTTTGATAAACAAATAGTTATTTTCTACATCAGTACATACATTATTTAACGTTTTTTTTTACAAAGTCGTTAATTATACCTGGCTAAATTTGTTAGTATTTATACTTCCCCAATTTTGTTGAAACCGTTTAAATATTGGTACATCAGTACCAGATGTTAGACATAATTTAACTTTAAAAACATTTTTTAATACTAGCTCGTAGATGTGGTGTCGACATGGTAAGTACAAAATATTACATTCTAAGTAATTTGAAGCCGTAGTATCACAGCAAAAAGCCTGTACATTTTCTGTAATACACCAATCAATAAGTATATGAAAAATAGCATCAGCCTGACCAACCCCTGTTCCCATATCAATTGATGGAACTCCTCTCACCATTACATAAAACAATAATGGCAAGTCGATCAACACTTTTTTGTCCTGTTAATGAAGGTAAAAGCTTGCCATCCATTGGGAATAATAACGGAATCCTTAATAGTTACCAAATAATTATCACGGATTTTTTCAGCGCGTTCTTTACGAAAACGTACGCGTGAGTTTCAAATTGAAGATCTATTTATAATTAATTTTTCAACGTTCTCACCTAATACCTCTGCTGTTGAAATTAATATATGAACTGCATCTCTATCACTAATTTTTCATTTAAGGAGTGCAGCTGCAAGTTTTGGCGTAATAAAATCAATACTTCCTCTAGTTGGTTGTTTGACGTACATTTTAGACGGTCAGGCTTGTTAAAATCATCTTCAGCAACGTCACACTCTGATGATGAGCACATTTCTACTTACGCAGCTAAAATACAAACTCAATTATTAAATAATAATTCTAAAACAACATTAAACTTAATCAATGACTTTATCATGTCATAACTACTTTTACGTCTTTTTCGGACATCTTTAACCTTTCACTGGCTCTTTTTTCTTTTGTACAATATTCATATCAACTCAAAACATAATATCAGGACGTCCCTTTTTGTCTTTGAATTAATAAAAAATCTCTATCTTCTTGTAATGACATTTAATTAAGGGCATCAACTTGAGCAATGTCAAACAAATCATTTAGTTTTGAACTAAATTCTTCATTTCTTTTTACTCGAGTGTCAGATTTTCTGTATTGCAGTTTTTTAAAATTTTTCCATTCGTCATAATATTTTTGAAGTTTTTTTATGCAATACTGTTCAGCACTGATAGGTATACGCACTTTTTGCCAAAAAATACTTACCTCTTTTATTGTCAGTTTAGAGCTTTCAAGTATGCTCAAGTTAACATGACGAATATTAAAAAAGAAACCGATAGTACTTGTCTTATTAACGGTAATTTACTACCAATAATTTGGTTTGACGGGAAACCAATCAAAAATATAAATGTATCTTTTCGTAAAGTTTTCCGTGAAGCCATTTTAATATGTATTAAAAACATTTTAAAATATCAAAATTATTTTGAACACTAAAATGTATATGATCTAAAAATGATCATACGGGCGCAGTAGAACTAATAAAAATAATAACCAGAAAAATGTATAGTTAGGACAAATATTAGTAATGGGTTTTGATAAAGACTTTATCGTCTTTTTAGACATTCTTGTAATAAATTGTGACTTGATGGTTCGATAAAAGTTTATTCAAGATTAAACATTGCTGTTATGATAAATTACGAAAATTACGAAAATTAAAAAACTATAACTAACATTCACTTTATTTTGTGAGTTTTTAACAACAAAATTATACATATTGACTTTTTATACATAAATANCACGAGTTAAAAAACTATAACTAACATTCACTTTATTTTGTGAGTTTTTAACAACAAAATTATACATATTGACTTTTTATACATAAATAACAAGTAAATAAATAAATTGTTCAGAATATAATTTGTGTAAAATATTATTTTAAACAACTTTTGTTCATACAATTTTGTTATGAATCCATTATTTCACGCGCTGGACTAAAAAAACAATGAAAAATGTACGGTTACCCAACATTTTTGAGTTTTCAAACTTTAGGCCTTTTTTTGGCACGGGTTAATCTTTTCTGATTTACCTGAAACATTGCGTAACTAATTTTTGTAAGTATTGGAACTAATTGAGATTGTATAATTTTTAATTTTTACTACATTCATTTTAAGAACCATCCTAATATACATGTTAAATTGATAATTTTATATTAAAATTGCATCTTAAAATAATAAACATGTTATGTTCAATTTAATGCAATAAACTGAATAACACTAAAAACACTAACGACAACATTCCATAATGGAGCTAATTAAAAATAATATAAAAAGGCTTATTTCTACTTGCACATCCGTGAGCTAGCAAGCCAATGAGCGAGCGGATCTTCTGCACTTATGAAGCTCTGAATTCTATATAGAATTCAGAATTCTTTTGTCCAGTTAACTTTTCTCAAATTAACCGTGACCCCATGCTGTCGCCGGAACATTTTAAGTCGATATAGAAATATAATTATTTTGGGTCGAGACTTTATTTATCTAAAAGAAACTTATAAAATGTTTGTGTTCGAATTAGCACAATTCAAGAAAAGGTTTGGTACTTGATATTCTGACTATCGACGATCTTTACGCAAGCAATCTAAAAGAAGTAAATAAATCCATATTAACTCAATTATTTAAAACTAATAATTGAGTAAAGAACGATAAAATAATAGATCAATAATCTCTATTAATTTTTAAAAGATAACTTAACTAATTTGTTTGCACTTTATACATATACACATTACAGAGTCTCGAGGGTCGCCCGTTGCCTCGGTGTCTTATTAAAGATGCTTACCAATTAATTAGTTTTTATTTCTCAACAAATAGGATCTACATTTACTTGTCTTTACTTTTTTAAACTTTCAAACTCTACAACTCCGATAGAACCTTGTTGCCCACGAATTGACTAAATCCCCAGATATCCAAACTTGGTCAAAATACCTAACACACGTTCTTGTTTATTTTAAATTACTACACAAGAGTGGATTAACAGTAGAGTTTTGTCAACATTCTATATAACTAAATAATTTTAAAAAACTTTTTTTTTAAATTAGGTCCCCCAACAGAAATAGTGCACCTAGAATACGTGTATTTTTATAAAATTTCTAACTTTATAGGCCTCTAAATCCCAAGAGAATTGTTTTAAATATTTGAAATTTAGTTGAAACATAGATTATACACTATACAATATTACATTTGAAGATCACTATAAAATAATATCTTCCTAATGGTTTTAAGTGAGCTTAAAATGCCAATTTTCACAAAAAAAGCATTATTTTTAGAAAGTCATTAAAGTTTGGAATTTCACATAATTTTTTTTTTTTTTTTTATAGTAAGCTTTTAGTTATAATGTCAAGCCTAAAATTTTAATTCCATTGAGTTAATATTAAATAATCTGTGTTTTTTAACGTTATGGCTATTTTAAATATTTTTTTCTAAGATAAGCCATAAAAATAGAATGGTCATAAAAAAATAAAAATTATGTTAATCTAATTATAGCATAAAGAATAAACCCTAAAAATTTCGGAAAAAAATGAGTTAGTCGTGCAACCATTTCTGGATGATTTGGCATGCATTGACCCCTTTTTGTAAAAGGCGCTAATACTGTTTTACAGCATACTAAAATACTTTTTTTTGCAGATGACTACAAATTATTCATGCATATTACTAATAGCTCTGATGTTATTTTACTTCAAAATAAACTAGATTGCTTAGTTAGTTGGGCCGAAGCAATTGGCTTGACGTTAAATGCTTCTAAGTACTATAAAAAAACTTTTCACGTATTTTCAATTCTATCCCTTCAACTTATTATATTCATAACTTCCCTATTGCATCTGTCCCTTCTATAGTTGACCTTGGGTTTCGTCTCATTCCTTTAAATTTTTGCTTTCATATAGAAGAAAGATATTACAAAGCTCTCAAAACTTTAGGATTTATTCAGAGAATCGCTTGAGTTTCATCGCTGAAAACCTCAAAAAAGCCTTTTTACTCGCTGGTTCGCCTTATTCTTGAATATGGTTCGGTGTTATGGGATCCTTGCACAGCTACAACCCTATGATGCTCGAAATAGTCCAGTGTAAATTTTTGCGCTTTGCTGCTTTTATCCTTAAAATTCCTCATGCAACTCATCACTTAACTCCTACTCAAAAAAAACTCCTAATCAAAATTTCTTGTAACTTACTTCTTTACCTGACAGAAGATACGATTTCAATATTCGTTTACTTTTAAACTCACAGCTAAAACAGTTACGCGTTTAGAAAGTAAACGAAGATTGATTCCTTGAATGTTGCCATCTTCATATTGAAGATTTAATATCAATGATTAAGTTCAAGATCAAAACTGCATTATACAATGTTCCATTAACATTTTAAAGTTTACAAGTTAAAACAGTTTTTTTTAATAATATCCGATATATAATTTGAACATCTTCAAAAGTACTTTCTAATCATAAACTATAACAATGTTATTTGTTATCTTGCCCTTATTTTATTTTGTGATATGTAGTGTAGATTACGTTTAAAATGTTTAAAAAATATTTATTTTATACTTTGCTAAAAATTTAATTTAATTAAAAAAGTAATTATAAGTTAACAATGTTTTTGTTTCAATAGCAAATTACAAATTGTACTAATTCAATATAAATATAATAATATATACATACATAATTGATACTAAAAATTTACAATAGTTTTTAATTAATTTACAATAAGGTGTTTCCACTTAAATAATTCAATAGCACTTCAGTTAGAATAGGAATGGGCAAATTTGGCCATTTAGTATTCATTATTCCAAAAAAAATTTATTTTTTAGAAATAGTATTATCTTTTTTCCAGGATTTTTTTCTTAATAAAAAATTTAAATCATATTCTGTATTTACTGCATAGTAAACATTAGCTGTCATAGGTAAAATCATTTCTGAAAGTAAATTTCATATAACTTATTAAAATCTGATAAAAAAATAAACTTACAAAACATTATTACAATTTAAATTCTCAGTCATAATAAAAGAGTATTTAACTTATTGAAAATGAAAATTTGGTCTCTACCAAATACCAGCAAAATAATATTTTTACATAATTAGGAATAAAAATTACACCTCAGGTTTTCTATAAAACAAAATCATTTGTGAATAAAGTTTTAAAAATACTATTTTAGCTTCGATGCGAAGCTGAGAAGGTATTGGTTTTACTAAGATGTGTGTTTTTTTTTTTTTTTTTTTTTTTTTTTCCCTTTTTTTC